TGGGACCCCCTGCACACGTACGTGCACACATGCACCCAGCTGGTCCCCCAAAGTTGGGAATAGCAATTAGCACCAGCTTCTTCCTTACAACGCCTACCCCTGGGGCTCCTGACCGGAAACCCTTCTGCCTTCTGCGGCCTGGCACAGAACCCAAGTGTCCGGGCTCCCAGGGGCACTGCCAGGACCCCACCTCCCCCAGGTGCCCTGGCATAGGGATGTTGGGGTCCTGCCCTGTCCAGAGCCCCCCACAAATGCTTGCTTGCTCTCTCTCTCACACACACACACACACACAATCAGTGCCAGGCCCAGATACTAACTGAATTAGCTCCTGATTGCTGGGAGATTAAAGTTGTATGGGGGGGGGATGACTACAGTCATGCTCTGTGGGGAAGGTGGCACTGGTTGAAGACAAGGACTCACATGTGATGAGTTTGGGGGTCTCAGCCCAACTGGACTGTGTTGGTAAGGCCTGCACAAACCCTGGGACCAGCCCCCTGGGGCCCCCCCACTTCACCCCCATACTCCCTGCAGCCCCTGGGGGGACTCCCCTAGGCCCCAGCTGGGGGGGGAGGGGGGTAGTGGAGCAGAGGGGTCATGACCCCTGGGCCCCAATGGGCAGAGGTTGGCCCTATAGCAAGGGGAAGAGCAGAACTGGGCTCCCTGGAAACTCCCCGCCACCCAGAGACCACCCCCCAACCGGCTCCTCCCCGGAGCTGGGGGGGGGTGGGGTGGCACTTGCAGTCTCCTGCTGCCACCCAGTGGCCAGAGCTTTAAACTGCACTCAGCTCCGACACCCGCCTCAGGTCACCCGGGGGGCCAGGTCGGCAAGGCTTTGCCCCTGGGGTGCCAGGACTTGGTCCAACAGAGGGCTGGAAGGGAGGGGATCAGTGGGGGCTGAGAAGCTGCATGGGGGGGCTAACACTGCCCCCCACACACCTGGCACTGCCCTTGGCTCTGTGCCCTGCAAGGGGGGGGACAGCCCCTCTCACCCTCTGTGTGAGTCTGGGCCCCCCCATATGGGCCTGTGCCCCCCACCCCTGCACCACCAGAGAGGCCAGGCTGGGACCAGATATATATTGCTCAAGTGTTACAGGATCAGCCCCCCAGCACCAGAGCCCAGACCCCCCCCCACCCACCCACTCAGCCCCCCAGTCACACATAGC